TGCTGAAATTTGACAATTTCTCCAATTTTTGTTCAGTTGCTAGTTTTTATGAATGATTAAACAAATTGGTCTTCTTTGTAGTACAAAATCGATCACATTCTTCTAAATGTTTCCAAAAACAGCAAGTGCTTACACACAAAAAATGAGTTTTAAATATTATAAATCATTCACTGCAATGTTGGTATATAGCTAATAGTGGAAGAGCTCGAAATCGAAATAAGTTCCTTCAAGAAGAACATTCTTGCATGAAATTTTCCTGCATAGCAATGCCTTTGCTCCAGCTAGCTGTATTTATTATCGTCTGACTCAGAGGATTACTGTCGGAATGCCATTAGCCTCGACAGATCCAAATCTGGCCATCCAATTACGTTTCAGCCATAACCAATCATAACTTGCTCAGACTCCACAGTGACGACGTCCTCACGTATACACATACATAAACATATCCATATATATCCAAGCCCATATTCCATAGTTGATGCGATGCTCGCTGCCAAGTTGCAACTAATTCCTTAAGCAAACATTAAGTTGAATTGCAGCGAGTTGCCGGAACAGGCAACGGATCTGAGACTGAGTCGGACTGGGAATAACTGGATGCATAAACCAAGCGCATGGCAGCTGGAGACTGAGAAAGAGACAGAGACAGCGACAGAGACAGTGACTGGTGCAGAGAGTTTTCCACTTTTCAAGTGATTATTTGAAAAATTTATTAAAATGCTCATTTGAAGTTATTGTCGTGCGCGCTTGATGTAGATACTTTGCTTTTACGACTAACGAGACCGAGTGGCCGGCAAGGAGTCGACTCGCAGATCAACTCTGAGACAGTCGCCGGGAAAGAGCGAGACAGCTAGAGAAGAATAGAGAGAGAGGGGCGAGGGGCGAGATGGAGCCGCACAAAGTTTCAGCACGCCCCAGTCGAGAAAAGGACGCGACGCCTTCATCGACTCCGTCTCCGTCTCCGTCGTCGTCGTCGTCGTCGTCGTCAGTCATGTCAACAGCGCAGCGCAGCTCACTTCCGGAATTCCAGACTTGAACTAACTCAACTTTTACGGCTGCTGGCTGCTAGCTGCCGGTTAGCCGGGGTCCTGTGCGGATACTTTGCCAACATCAGCATCAGCATCAGTCTAAAGTTTCTGTCGTCGTCGCCATCGCCATCGCCATCGTCCTCGTCGTCGTCGTTGGGCAATTCACTTTTATTGAAATGGCGTGCAATGTTCTGTTCTGTTTGGCTGGATACGGAATCCGATTCTTTTGGCTGCGGCGCGACGCGGCGCGGCTTCGTTTCGTTTCGCATTTCCAATTCGTTGTTGCCTCTTCTGCTCATTTCGTCTACCCTTCCAGAGGTCATTATAATTTTGATACCAAATGTGTCCCCGCAGCCTTAAAATGATATTCTAGATCGGACAGCAAAGATCCGGGCTCGAGTCCCAGGCGTTTGGTATTGAGAGTGCTTTCAAAAGTTGGTTTAATAGTTAACACCTAAATCCATGAAAAACTTTACATTTAGTCAAATATTTGAGTACTCCCGTATTTGCTAAGTGTCTGCAAGGGTATTTAATCTTCGGCACTTTGCAGTTAAGTTTTTCTTCTTGTTTCTTTTATGTCTGCGCTTTTAGTTTATTTTATTTTGTATTTTAAGTCATTCCTATGCTGCATCATTCGCTGTCCGGGAGTTGATTCTGTTGATGGCACAAAGTGCAGTGCAATTCATTTTAATGGTCGCTTCCCATAGCCTCAGCCCATGAGCCCATACACCAACACCACTCGGTCCTGTCCAGTCCAGCTGTTCGTTCCGTCACTTGAGAGTCAATTTCAGAAAACTTGATTTCCCATTTCCAATGCCAGCGCCAATCCGACGATTTAAGGGATTGCCTTGGATTCCTACTCAACGCTCGCTGTGCATTCATTCATTTTTATGAATCTGCGAAATTGACTCGGACATTGTTCGGTTTGCGGTCGAAGCCAGAACAGGACAGAACAGAACAGAATACGGAACGGAATACGGAACGTGTTGTGGGTTGCCTCGTCTCATTTGAAGCTCGCTCCATTCCCAATCACAGCTGTTGATGGTCATTGGCAAGCTTTTGGCCCTGCCACTGGCAGCCGCATTGAAGGTTCTTGCTTTTGTTGCATGTGGCATGCCCTCATGAGCATCACGTCAGAATGCATAACATATATCAAGTGTCCCATGGGCTGGGCTTTTAAAGAAGTCTAGAGAAACTTGTTGGGCTGACTGGGTAAGTGTATTGCATTGGCAGCAACAAATAAGAATTTAATATAAATCAAATTCATTATGCATATATGCAGAGCACAAGATAAATCATAAAATCAGGATATATATAGTGATATACATGTATTAACTAGATCTCTTCGGCGTTATCAGCCGAGTTTTTTTAATTAGATTGATTAATATTTATATAAAAAATGCATTTTTATTTTTGGTATTTTTTTTTCGCTGCCAAGACTCGAACTCGATCTCCCACTTCGAGCAATCCCTTTCATAGACGGTCTTCATTGCTGTTCTTATCCATTTTAGGCAGAAGGAAGCATTTTCGGCAATTTTTGTTCGTCATCCATAGCCGAGTCGATCTAGCCATGTCCGTTTGATCATCCGTCCGTTTGATCATCCGTCCGAAGGTCCTCTTAGTTGCCGTGTTGTACGAGTTCTTTTAAAATCATCGATACCTTGTCCGCTTACAAGCAATCGATTAGAATGAAATATCGATAAGAATCGAAAGACGATAAGAATCGAAAATCGATTAAAATGGATAACAGATAAGAATCGAATAAGATCTAGATCTTGTCGCAAGGCATACACAGATCAAGCGTATTTCAATTTTTGGATACCTCCTCCCCTTTCCACAATAGCAAATATTTAAAATGTCCAATAAGAACGTAATAGATACATTTTCCGGTAATGCAATGGGAACTTGAGACTAAGTGGAGATCAGCCGTTTGACGGCGAAGAACTGCGAACTTTGGTAGGACTGAACAAGATTTAAGATTTAAGATTGTGGATGAAATAAGCAAAAACTATTTATTGTGCATATTTTTAGATACATTCACTCATTTTCTTTACTCGTCGGGTATCTCGCAGACGAAATAGTTATTCTTCTCACATTGAATGTCATACATAAAATAACCAGACTCATCCTCACGTTTGCGAATTTCGACGCAATCTTCGTCGTAGTCCTTGTTATCGGGTTCATTTTCATCCCACTTCGTGAACGCCGCTTCCTTGCCAGAGGTTAACGATTGGTATTGGCCCTCCTTGCTAAGGTCATTGATATCGAGCCAAAATCCGTGCTTTGCTGCAGTGGAGTTTCCCGTGATAGAGTCGATTTTTTCAGTTATTGCATTGAAATCCTCCTCATTTTTCAAATCGGCCAAATGCCCGCCCAGCGATCGACATACATGGGCTGCTCCAAACCAGTTGTTCTTATATTCGTCTTCAAGAAAATAAACTTCCCGGCTCGTATTGTTTTTTTCATTAGCTGGTTCTTTCTGATTTTCGAGCTTCTCAAACCTCTCATTTACCAATAGCGTAATTTTCGCCAACGCCTTGTGGGCACTCGTCTCGAACGCATAGCCCTGCTCATCGAATCGGTTCTGCATTTTGATCGTAAAATCGATCAAGGGCCTAACGATCTTGAAGCAACCACTGGAATTGCGTCTTCTTACCGGCGCAAGCGACACGAATTCCTGCAAGACGGCAAACACACTTAAGACAATCTACAGGTTAGTTGGGCAGTCGAACTCACATCATTATCGTAACAGATCCCTTGATGGACCAGAATGGAGATTAGCAATGTTGCCAATATGACTTTCATTTTATATATATATATAGTCGTCCACAAAAAGGCCGCAGAAAACTGATGCATTCATGTAGACAATCTGCTTTATATATCAACTTTTTGCGGAAGTGGAGATTTGCTTTTAGCAAATAGTTTCCGTCTGATGTGTGAAATTGTACATTCAGTTATATATTCCCTTTAAGCTGATTTAGATCAAGGTGTTACGCAAGCCTGTTAAAATTTTATTCCTTAACCGAATCGATAATTTGTTATGCAATTTTAGAAATTGCCAGCGGTATGAAAATAAAATGAGAAATTACTCTTGAACCAAATCCAAAATCTGTCTGCAGTCATTTGAACGAAAATACATTCATACATTCATTGGAGTCTCAGCCAAGTGTGAAACACGATCGGGTAAAGAAACTAATAAAGTTTCAAGCAAACTTATTTATAATTTTCTACGCTTGAACAGGATATTTTACAAAACTCAATATTTGTATTCATTTATAACAGGTTAAAGATATAATGTTTAAAATTCAAATGGTTCCAAATTTACTTGCAGAGCTTGTTCCGACTTTAGATATATACAAATCCGTAGAAACAAATATTGTCTTTTATTTCGAATTCTAAACTACGTGCTGGCTGAGTAATCTGCCGATTAGCCCAGCGCCCTACACAAATAACTTGTTGGAACCTGTTAAAAAATACATAAGACAACTTTGTAGAAAAGGAACCCTTTAATTATTATTGTTACTTTCATTAATTTTCCCATTCGTTTATAATGCTTTCCTTATCTGTGCTTATTACTCTTTTCTTTGTGAATAAAACTTAAAATTAAAAAATTGCTGCTGTATTTGAACCAGCGACCTCTCGCTTGTTAGTCCGACGCTTAGAGACCCAAGCCACACAGGCTCTTGATGTTACTTTGACAATCGGTTTCCCCTACTTAGGATCGAATTCTAACCAACGACCTCTTCGATCTAAACGGATGCTTCTACATAAGTTGAATCGTTCTAGTTCTTCCTGTTTGAGCTAAGCGTTAATCATATTAAGTTAGTAAAAACTATTTTATATAACATAGATCATAAGATCGGAGATGTTTTTAATGCACACCTTTAGAGGTAAATATTAATCTATTTTAATTTTAATAAACTATAATAGAAATAAATCAGTCTGATCAATTAATATACCTTATAGGGTACTTACTTTTTTGCCAGAATTTTGCCGCAGGTGCCACACTGAAATTTCGGCTTGGACACAACCGACTTCTGTTTGGCTGTTGTCTTGGCTGCTGCCGTCTGATCCCGATGGCCATGCATGGTGGCCATGTGATTCTTGAGGTTGTGTCTTCTGGCGAACTTGGCCAAGCACTCGGCGCACTCGAAGATGCGCTCGTCCGTGTGATTGCGCAGATGGGCACGCAGCGAGTGCTTACGGAACTGTTTGGGACAGAGCGGGCATTGCAACAGCTCGTCCTTGCCAATGGAGGAGCCGCGCGTATGAAAGAAACGATGATAGAGCAGATCCGACTCGTACTGGGCGCTGAAGCTGCACTGATCGCAGTCCCAGTACTTGGACTGAGTGGGAGCTGGCGCCGCTGTTGAGCTGGAGGCGATGGGCTGGCAGCTGCGCGTGTGCCGACCCAGCGCCTGGGCGGACTGAAAGCTGAGGCCACAGCTGAGGCAGGCATGATTGTCCATGGGATGTGACTCCCTGCGATGCTGGATCAGCGCCTGCGGCGTGTCAAAGTTAAGCTGGCAGCTGGCGCATTGACTCACCAGACGGCGCCTCTTGGAGCTGGCCACTGCTGCAGCTGCTGCTGCCGTCGGCTTTTCAGGCTGTCGATCCTCCAGCACCTCGCGCAGCATGTGCTCAATCTCGCGCTCCGGCTGAGTGCTGGACTTGCGGCTGGACTGGCGACTCGCACGCCGCTTGTGCTGCATGAGGCTGCGATGGCGACGCGCCTCCAGCGGCGTCTCGAACTCCAGACGGCAAACGGCACAGTAGTATTTGGCCAGGCGATGCTTGTGCTTTTCGTGCCGCTGCAGCGCCACTCGCGATCTCTGCGCAGCGCCGCAAATCCCGCAGCGAAAGCGGCACTGATAGTCATCGGAGGCGCTGCCCGTGGCCACCATTCCGGCGTGCTCCGTGGCAAAGTGACGCCGCAATTGCACATTGTATAGGAAACTGGCGCTGCACACGGAGCAGCTCAGCTGCCGGCGCTGGGCAATGCAAACGGGCACCGATCGATTGATGGCGAACAACACTTCCAAGTGCGTGTTGCCCAGCAGATGCTGCCACATTTCCTCGTTGCTCGCGCACTCGAACTGACAGTAGCTGCACCAGAAACTGCCGCCCAGCCGTGCGGTGAGCTCCATATGGGCAGAGGAGCGCCAATGTGCCTGCAAGTTGGGTACACAAAATATATCGGTTATCGATATAATGACAGGTAAAAATATAGTCCTATTTCTGATTATCTAATACTTCGGAAAGCAGTTGCTATCGACCTGTATTAATAGAAAGCCTCACTGGGGAATTAGGGCAGTCGATGAGTGTTATCGATAACATTTATAAAAAAATTTCTTTTCAATCTACAAATATATACAACTAAATCTACTTTTCTGATCAAAAATACATACATAATTGTATAAAAAAAGTCTCATTTACTTTCCCTTAAATTAACGCTTAAATGAAGCATTGAACAATTCCACCCATTGGGGTGGAAAATTAGAGGAAAACTGTTGGGAGCGTTTTTGTGAAAATTATTTAGCAAATTAATCTAGAGAAGAAAATGAGGATTATATTTAAGTTGCCATGTGGAAAATTTTGCAGTTCGGAAAATGGATGGAAAAGTGATAACGTTTATAAAAAGTATTTTGCCTACGAAATCGGTTAATACCACACAAGTACTTTATATAGACTTGAAAACTGAGCCTCGTACCTGGAAAGACTGCTCCGTGTTGGCATAGAAGCGGCAGGGCAGGCACTGGAATGGCGCCTGTCGCACTATGCTGCCCATATGCTCCAGTATGGAGTGCAGGGAATTCTGGCGGCGCAGCTGCGTTTGCTGCTGCTGCAGGCGTCGATAGTGATAGTGCGAGATCAGGTGCTTGCCCATGAGATGGCGGGCCATGCTGTGGCGGCACAGCTCGCAGCGTAGCAGATTGGCGCGACGACGGCGACGGCGCTGTAGCTGCTCCGCCGGCGCGGGCTCGAAGTCCTTGGTGAGCGTGAGATTGGCGCCCTCGAGATTGGCCTGCTCTAGCTGGCACTCAGCCTCGGCGCGGCGCTGATGGTAGCCGCTGCGCAGATGCTGCTCGTAGTTAAGTCGCGTCTTGAGGCGCCGACAGCAGATGTTGCACCAGTAGCTGGCGCCCGGCTGCTGCAGCTTGGTCAGATCGATGTTCTCGCGGTACTCCAGCTGCTTGCTGCCCGGCACCCACTTGCCGTGCGTATGCTCCGCAGGCGGATGGTCGTGCGCATCTTCGGGCGCCTCGTCCCAGCTGGGCGAGATGCGCTCCAGATGCGTGTGACGCAGCTGAGGACGATGTTCCGGTTTCCATTTGCCACCCGTGTGCGTGGCGGGCACTGCCGGCGGGGAATGCCGCGAATGACGCGCATCATAATCTTCGTCAGCGTCGTGATCGTGCTCGTGCTCGTGCTCATGCTCATGCTCATGATCGTGTTCATGATCTGCATCGTCGTCTTCCCCATCAAAGTCATCTGGCTCCTCGTCATCCTCCTCTTCTTCGCTGGCTTCGGGTGAGTGCACAAATTTTAGCGGCTTGAAGTCGGATTCCTCGTGTTCTCGCACCGCCTTCAGCAATGGATCTGAGCAGCTGCTGGCCGAATGCCAGCTCTGTTCCTCCTTGGCTCCTCGCTCCGGGCGTGCACCGGTCTTGCCGCCCGTTGAGACGCTTTGCAGCTGCAACGAAGAAAAGAACACATCGGCGCCCAGCTCGTAGGTCGGATCATAGGCCTCTGTCAGGGACTTGGACGTTTTTCCGCCATGACTGGCGGTCGTCTTGCGCAGGTAACTGCTCGGAGCCTCCGGCTCTGCAAAATGGAAGCCGTCATAGCTGTGCTCCAAGTTGGAGCGACTCATGATCGTGGACGACGACACGTGCTCGGTACGAGTCGACGTCGTGACCGTGGTCGGAGCCACAACTTGCTTTGCCGCACGAACATTTCCGACTAAGCAATTCTGTTTACGGTGCTCAATGTATTTGCTGAGACCCACAATGGTTGCATTGCATTTAATGCACAGGTGAGTGTCCTCCAGATCATCCGATTCGGCGTTCATTATTGTAAGCTGCAAGGCACGAAATAAAAGAGATCAGCTTGATGGGAGGTACTTTAGTTATCAAATAGGTTTGATTCCTTCTCCAAAAAATGAAAGTAAGAGAGAGTTAGTAAAGAGATAGGGATAGACTCTCTAACCATGACCATTTGGACCGGACTGATATAGAAACTACTTAAGTGTCCTATTCCTGCTCTTTGACCCCTTTTTTCTGTATCCTCTGAGGCCATTTTGATTGAGTGCATAAAATAGACTGCCTGATTTATTGAGATCTCGTCGGAACAGTCTTTATACCAAGCCAAACTAAGCTCTTTAGTCGCATCGTTGGGCAATCGGCAAATAAACAGAGACCGTCTAAAAGCTGGTCCGGAGTGCAATGCATCCTGCCGGGTCATATTTCAAGCCCAGTTTATTCATTAGCTGGCAGCTCGCATGTAGCCAACTGTAAGGGGCGTGTGGGAGGGGCAGAGACGGGGTTCGCCATCATCAACAGCCAATCCTGTTGCCCATCCCTGTTGCATCAACATCACCACAGCGTTGACATGCCGGCGCGCCTGTGCGTGTGCTCCTGTGCTCGGGCCTGTGCCTGTTCCTGTCCATGTGCCTGTTCCGGCCTCCCCGCACCGTTCCGTCCCGACCCGCTGCTGTTTTGTGTTCCTGTTTATGTCCGTGTCCGCCTGTTGGCATTGCGGCCTGTCAGAAATGAAGTTTATTGCGTCTGTGTAGCGTACGTGTCGCGCGCTATACCTCTCTCACTCCCTCACACTCACTCTCTCTCCCCTTCTCTCGCTCGCTCGCTCGCGATGCTAAATGTAAAAGTGTCATTTCCGCCATATGTGAGCGCGATGAACGATGCGTCGCTGTCGACGTTGACGTCGACGTTGGCGCTATTGTTGCCGTTGTTAATAATTTCACAGTACAATTGCAGCAGCAGCAACAACAACAACAACAACAGAAGCAGCAGCAGCAACAATCAGCGGCAGCAGTTGGCAGTGGCTGCTGTTGGAATTTATACAAACGAGGCCCATGTCTGAGGTTAAATACGAAAAACATAACAATTCGCACAGCCCCCAGCCCAACAAGCATACTCTCTCGCTCTCTCTCTCTCTTTCTATGTGCGTGGGCGGATGTCAAGGTATTTGGCGCTGCCGTTGATGATATGAACGTGAAACTGAACGTGCATGTTGGATATTGTTGAATACCGTAATATGGGATATATGGCAACGCCGCCTGCGAGGCTTTCATCCGTCTAACGAGGCCGCGCGACAGGCACAATATTGAGCCAGACTGTTCTAACTGTTCCATTGTTGTTGCTCTTCGGGTGATAAACGTGCGTTTGTTTAACAATTAACGTGCCTTGGCACACATGCACAGTTATTTATTCAAGTACCCTCCCGCACTCACCTCTCTATCTCTCTATCTATCTTTCTAGTCAGCTAACTATTGTGAGCTGTTTGGCTCTCACCAATTTTTATATGCCTAATTAGTGGGCTGTCTGATTTTCAACAGCGTGGCAACACTTGGCTGGCTGCACCAGTTGGAGAGGGCCGTGTGTGTGTGAGTGTGTATTCATCTTGTGCGTCTTGTGATTCATGATAATTGCTTATTACACATACAAATATTTACATGCCTCCAGTGTGCGTCGTAGGCGTTTAAACAACTAATTGCCATCTAATTGCACATATCCTGCAATTTATGTGCTGAGTACCAAGCTCAAAGTCAAAGTCAAGACAAGCGATTCGGAATTAATGAGACACCTGCGAAGCAAATGCCCAAATGTGAAGCTGACACAAATGACATAAATAAGTTTAAAGGGTTTCCGGATAGGCATCATATTCTATACCCATTAAAATATGGCATTGGAGTTATATTTAAGATCTGCAAGTTTATGTAACATGCAAAAAATACATCTTTGACCCGATTAATAATGTGTTTGTATAAATAATTTAATTTCAGAGAGCTAGCTCCATAAGTATACCACCCGCATATGTGGATAGTGCGATTCTAATATTTTTTTATGATCGATTTTCATAATAATTATAATAATAATAATTATAAATAATAATACATTTTATAAATAAAAAAAAATAAATATTCCGATTTGAGCGACTTGTTTAGCAAATATGTAATTTTGTTTTGAAAACTCTCAAAAGTATGCTAATAAAATTTGTAAAATCGTATTTTTTGCATAAAAAAATGATATAAAGAATATTAATATTTATATTTTGTTGGTTAAAATTTTTAAAAAGAGTAAACAAACTAATTGTATTGAGAAAAATTTTTAATAAGTACAAAAAACATTCGCACATGTGGATATGCGAGTGATTACAATGTGTGTGTGTGGCCTGTGTGTGTGTGTGTGAGTGTGTAGTTAGTGGCTCATTCGTACTCATAGAGCGCACTTATATTGAGGAATTAAATAATAAAAGCAGTTAAGAGCTGCACAAGCACAATTGTGCCATTATTTGCATTTGTGACAACGACGCCGACGACGACGACGACCAATGGCAACGGCACCCATCAACAACAATAAAAGCAATGGCAATACCAACAGCAACAACAGCAACAACAACAACAAAACACAGAGCAACACAACAAGGGAACACAACATTGTTGAGGCCATCATCAGCAAACAGAGCAATGCGACAGGCTGGCAAATGCCAGGGACAATGTGGACGAGAAATCCTCGTGGTTGTTTGATTCGAAAATTGAGTTTTAGCGGCGCAAATAAAAATAAAACTTAGAACAGCAATAGCAGCAACAAGAATAACAACAACAACAGCAACAACAACAACAACAACAAGAAGAAGAAAAGCTTAACCATTAAAAAGGAGTTATCACCCAATTTAGCACCACAAGCGCGAAATAACGCACACAAAGACATGCACACGAGCATATGGATACAGAAGGCACGGGCAAATGTTGTTCTCGTGTGGCAAGTGGGCTGCGCGTGGGTGAAGGTGGGGTGTAGGTGGCTTCTAACTCGACATGTTTGTGCAACCCATCGGCGTCAGTTGAACACCAAACAGACATACTGTACAACATGGCATTTATGTCAAACCCAAGCGGTCCCCTATATAAATGGGCTTGTGGGCGGCGAGTCTGCCCGCAGGGTTGGGTGGCAAATCCAGGAACAGCATGCACAGATATGTACATACAAAAAATAGAGTAAAGAAATTGATATTGATATATGGACGTTATGAAATTGCAACGCATTAACAGAACATCAAAAGCTGAGCTTAAAAGTTAATTTAGAAAATTCGGTAAATTAATTTTTCAGATTTTTCTTGGAAATATGAAATTTGTATTCGAGAATCGTTTAAAAATTTGAAAACTTTTTAAAGCAAAAAATGGACGGTTACTCAGGTAGTTGCGAAAATAGATTCTTAAGAAAACGTACTAACTAATTTTAGCTAAATTGATTTTTGGGATGTTTTCTGTTGCTTCGTGATCCCGCTTTGTGATGCGGGAAACATATCTTCTATAAGTCATACACAACCTACATTTTTAAATTCTGGCTGTTTAAGGTTTTGTTTATAAATTGAACTTAAAATTATCTCATTTAAACGAAAATAAAAATTTTAGCCCCCATCTATATACATATGTAGAGCATATTATAATTTTGTCATTTCTCTCCCCACATATGAATAAGATTTTTTTTTATAACGGATAGCTAAACAATATATAACATATTTTCGGTCGAAAACGAGGTTCTTATATGGAAAACTGTTTTCTCTAGACATTTTAATCAATATTTGTATTTGGTCGTTTCTCTCTCTACATGTAAGCTAACTATCGGACCTTAAAGTTGCCACAGGGAGGATCTTTCGTAAGTTAAGTTAAAACTTTGAAAAACTTTGTTTCCCAAGGTATCTTTATAAATCTCGGAGTTTATTAGTTTCAACAATGTTCCCCACAAATGATGAAAATCTTTTTAGGATCGAATAGCTTTATCATATAGCTAACGCTCGTACGCTGTATAGAATTATTGGGAAAACTCCTCTACCAAGGACGGCAATTAGAAAGTTTAATAATAATAAGTTTAATACCAGAGTAAAATAAATAACATATTATTCATCAGATAACTTGCGCCTATTGTATATAGTCCAAGTAGTCATCGAACATGTTGGCCAAGCGCTTGCACTCCTCCAGCTCGGATGCAATTTGTCGCACTTTACTGCTAATATTGCGCACATCATCCATGTAGTTGAAGAGCAATTCCTGCAGGCGACCCTGGACCCAGTCGAACCAGTAATCGATCTCCAGTTCCTGGCTCGCTGGTTGATGCTTTGTAAGAACTTGAACGCAGCTTTGGACTATATTCAGGAGCAGGGCCTCCAGACGTGCACCCTGATCCTGTTCGCTGTCCCGTCGATGGAACTTGGTGTACTTAACGGTCAGGTTGAGCAGTTCCCACATGTACATTTTGACCAGCTCCTGCTTGAGTGCGGGATCAAAGACCCAGGCCACAATTACGTGAGCGCCCACAATTTGCATTTTCATCAATTTGTCAGCCACGACCAACTTGACCTGCTCGTTGCTGGCCCACAGTTCGAAGAGGGCGCTCAGCATAGACATTTGGTTGGCATCATTGCAGGCCAACATCTGTTGGATGACGGATGAGATGGCAATCCGCTGGCGAGACAACCAGAAGAGAACTCACCTTCAACACGGGCTGAAACTTGCTGAAGATGGAAAATATGTGTGTAAAGGACTTGCAGCCCAAATGCAGGAACGTCTGCATCAGCACATTGATCTTGAGTGCGTCCTCCAATTCTGTGGTCGACTCCACCAGACCGCCGAGCAGCTCCGGCGCGCACTTACTGCGTATAGCCTCCAGCAGGTGCTTGGCCAGCTTGGCACCGGGCAGCAGCTCGTTAATGTACTTAAAATTCGGATCCGGCGAAACGGGCAGCAGGGCCGCAAAGGAGATCGGCATCATCTGGACAACGTGCTGATAGTAGCTGAGGCTGTGAGAAAGGTTGGGGAGAAATAACTCCCTGAAGGACTAAATGGCTGATAGACTGAGTTTTTCTCTAATGCAAATGTGTACATTAATTGTCACTGCTCACGAGGTCTTCACTTTTACTTAACCTAGTCTCCTGTAGACTGCTGAAAGTGGCAACCTTGCATGGATACATAAAACTATTTGTCCCGACTGAGTATCAAAGCCTAATTAAGTAAAATGTAGCATGGGCAACTTATTTGAAAACCCAATTACCACGTGCTAGAGCACAATTAAAAAACCCAACCGCGGCTGTGAATTGGTGGGAATGTTATATATCCCCCTCGTGTGGGATATATGAGAATAGCAAATCGGAAAAGTATGTCCAAAACTTGAAGATAAAACTTGGCCCGAGCAGAGCGGATAATACTCGCTTATAATATCACATCTTCCGCTTTCAGTTTTTTATTTCCTCCTCGAAAGAGATCATATCTCTCCATACTCCACCTATCGCCCTCGTCATTATCAAGCCTCAACTCCAACTACTTTGCGCTGTTCTTGCAACGGAAACAGTCGGGTTTATCCGACTACAAGTTATTGAAATATGCAGGTTACCCACCGCATGCACTTCTTAAGCAGCTCTCGCACAAACATGGCGCTGGGATGCAGTTCCGGCACGGTGGTGCAGCTCTCCCAATCCTGCCAGTTCCATTGATACCGAAAGTTGCTCAGATGATGCGAGAACCAATTGACGAAGCGATCAAAGCTGGACGCGTTCATGTATTCCAATTGCGTGTAGAGCATATCGGCCGCCTGGGCGACGACACGCGGGAATTTGTCGGGCACCAGCTTGCAGAGCTCGATGAGCAAGGCGCCATAGTTGATGGTCAGCAGCGGCGAGCTGGGCAGCTGAAGCATTTGGCCCAGCAGCACCTCGACAATGCAGTGCTCCATGGCCAGCGCTGGCCTGGCAACGCAATAGGCCAGCAGCCGCTCGGCGCAGATCTTGCGCTCCAAATGGTACAGCTGCAGCGTCTCCAGTATATGCGATTCGATGGCATGCCGTCCAATGTCCAGCTCGTCGGGCATGCGCATCTCAGGCGGAAAGTCGCTCACCTCGAACAGGCGAAAGACAAGCCAGGGGCGCGGATAGGTCACCGTGTCGGGCTCATAGCGTGGCGGCTCCAGTGCGGGCAGATGATGCTGCAGCGCGGTGCTCAGCGTCTCATCGAAGGGCGCATAGGGGCGCAGGAGCTCCTGCTCGATCCAGTTGTCGCGCAGCAGGCGCGTAATCTGCTGCCAGAGCAGCTCCAGGTAATCGTGCTGCGGCACATCCCCGTTGCTCCAGATGCGCAGTAGACGCACACCGTCCGTGCAGCTGCGCTCCTTCTTCATGTAGAGCTGCAAGCGCTTGATCAGCGCCTGAAGCGCCACCTCCTTCTTCTCGTAGAGCTCGCGTCCGATGAGCGGCAAGGTGCCGAGCACCAGATGGGCATAAAAGTCGCGACGCCTCTGCGGCGACGCCTCCTCCTCGCAGACATCGGTCAGCGCGTTGAGCAGCTGCAGCATCGAGCCAACTGTCAGCACATTCGTATTGACCAGATCGGCGAGCAGCAGCACCAGGCTGCGCGCCTTGGCCCACTCGCCCTCGAGCAGGGACTTCAGCAGCTGCTGCACCAAGCAATTGAGGCACTCGCCCCCAAACTCGTAGTCCCGCACATTGACCAGGCCCACAAAGGTCGCGTAGGCGCCGGTCTGCATCGGATGCGAGGCGACGCATTCGACCAGAATGCGCAGTATGTCCCACTTGTAGATGTGCAGCGTATCCGCGACATAGTAGCTCAGATCCTCAATGCGTCCCTGCACCGTGGCGCTGTTGTCGCTCAGCTTGACCATGAGGTTCTCAATGGTGCCCATAACCTCTTTGTGGTCGTTGCGACGCGGCATTTTGCTTGGACGGCCGCCCATTTCCACGGGCTCGGCATCCTCCGGAGATTCCTCGCGCCAGCGTCGACGTGAATTCATTTCCACAACAACAAAATCAACACAGCGCAAACTCAATTAATGTAATCGGAAGTTAAAATATTAGCTTTGAACCAACTGCGTCAGCGGCAGGCGAACGAATGAATTTAATTCGAAAGCTTCTTTATGTATATAGAAGCCACAGCTCAAAAACTGCAAAGCCTACTGAGAATTTCGGAACTACTAAAAACTAGTTGGTATTAGCCGGCATTGCCCGAGCCAAGTATTAATTAGTTTTCCACAATCGAAATAAAAAGCAAAATATTTAATTTGAAATTATATAATTTTATATAAAATCAGCAACAATTTGTGAAACGCGAATTTTAAAAGTAAAAATCAAATGAGGCCAATTCCTTAAATTATTAGTTGGCTTGTTTAAAAACAGAACATCATAAATATGTAGTTTTATGGCATAAACTGGCAAGAAGCTGCAGAAGCTGCAACGAACAACCAAGAATCAACAACAAGAAGAAGAACAACAACCATTATCGGCAACGACAACTGCAATTTGACGAACGTCATCAAAAATTTTACGATGCTCTCGTGAACGAACCAAATAATAAAAATTATATGCCACATAAAGCTGATGACTGATCCAGGCGCAGATATTTGCCGGGCAAGGTAGCGAACCAGGTAAGCAACCAGATCTGGGAGTCAATTATAGCCACAGCATGCAAATGACACATGGCCAATGCCAATGGCCAGCCAGGCCTCCAACCTGGGAGACGACATCGACAAGAAGTTGCGACAATAAAACAGCCACAAAAGCCCGACTGCAGCTGACGGGGCGAAATCAAGAAATGAAATAATAATAAATTCTGCATGGTAAATTACTTGAGGTCGTAAAAGAAAATATGCAAATCGATTGCATTCATTTCATAATGATGTAAATAATTTTTGTTTGCGAAACGATCGACAGCGGCAACAGAGAAAAAAAACGTATTGGGAATAAGCTTCTGTCCTCGGTTGCGATATCCATAAGTTTTTGACATAAAACACGTAAACACGATACATTTTGAGAGAATGTACGTAAGGCTTATACTTTGAAATAGTGATATTTTTAGCAGCTAACATCAGGATAAATACTATAACAAGCGGATAAATTGCAGTACGCTCTTTTTATCTTCATTGCAACCAAAATGTGGCATACGAGTTTATAAGTTCACATCGTTATAGATAATACACCCAGGATAAATACACCCAGCGGATATATTACAGTGAACTATCTTCATTGTAAACAATTTTACAAATAGCGGTATTTGAGAGTATGCATATAAGGTTTATACTTAGCAATAAACCCGTCCGTGTGAAGTTTCTCAGCATCTAACACCAGGATAAATAAAGCAAGCCGATAAATTGGCTCTCTAATCTTCATGGCAAATTCTAGTTAAAAGAGCTAACCAAAATAATACGAACTTTTCTGCTTGACAATATCTAAAAACTTATTTTATGTAATTCTCAACAAGATAAAGCTATGAAGAGAGTTATGGTCGAATCGGTAGATTCTGGAAATGGCTAGCTTATTTATTATTTAAATAAAAAAGGCTTACATTGACATCGACCCGACCAACCTTTTATTAATATTATAGATGACAGGCTTAAGCTCGAAGTAAGCTTTATTTAATTTGCGATCGATGCAATCAATTCTGTTGAAAGCTTTCAGGTGCAAATCAAAGAACTGACAAATAATTATATCTATGCACATTTAACGGCCAATTCTCGATCCGATCAACTTTCAATATGCCAATTGATGGACTGATCGGGCCATTAGCATTCAAAATAAAGTCAATAAGAGCCAAGCCATGAAATGGAACTGAAAAGTTATGGACTGAAATTAACTGCAAATCGTTAACAATAACTCAGCGAACAGTTCGATTGAGTGGAGGCTAGTTTTGCATTTAAGGCGAGGATCTTCGCAGTTACATTTTATGTGCATATTTCACGCCAATCCAGGCGAGCCGAGGCGAGGCGAGGCGAGGCGAGGCCCGCCATCTCCGTCTGTCCCACTGAATGCTCGTTTTGCGGCCCACGACGAATTCATAAAGTATCTCGCACTTTTAATGATTTCTGAGTTACAAGCTAGCCGAGCTGGACTGGGAGTTGGGCGTCCGTTGTGGCAACGCACGCAGCAGGTACAATGCAACAATTTGGCGGCAACTTATGACAGCGCAGCGATCGCAAATAAAGTCAAATGGCGGCTGCACCAACTGATCCTGATCTCTCCAGATCCCAGCTTACAAGCTTCCAAGCTTCAGTGTGGGGCGCGAGAATTTATGCGGCTCTTTGGCCGCGACGACGTCGTTGTTGTTATCGTTGTTGTTGCTCTTGTTGTTGCCGTTGTTGTTGCTGTTGTTGTTGGCGCTGTTGCGGCGGCTTTCGTGCGCACTTAAATTATGAATATTACCAAATGGGTCAATTCGAAATAAATAAGCAACGGTCCACGCCGGGCCATTCCCTGGCGATTCATGCATCCAGCGCACCGCCAAATAGAGTTGTCTCTGTCGCAATTTCTCATTGAGCTGTCTCTCGGCTCGATCGTCGTCGGCGCCCCATCCAGCGACCAGCGTCCAGGGACCAGGGACCAGGAACCGGCAACGGATTTGGCATTGGGCGGCATTTAATATCGCTCATGCATCTGGTAATCTATGCGCAATTAGCTGCGTACATCAGATTTAGTGTTCTGATTGCATTTGCCTATCTCCACCTCTCTCTCTCTCTCTCTCCCTTTCCCATTCTCTCTCTCTTGCCGCTTATTGGCCATAAATATGATATGAGATTTTTCTGTTTTTATGCCATCCCAGTCGCTGGCTCAGCCGCTAAATATTTAGTAGACAAGCGGAAATCTATTTAATTTTCCAATAAATGCAAAATTTGTGTCGGCAGTCGAAGTCGAAGCAGCTAAATAACATTCAACTCGATTAGTGCAGGAATTTCTTGGGAAACTCAAGCCGCAGAGTATCGCATAAAATGGTTAGGCATGTTAATTAAGAATATCTTGGCTATTACAATTGCATTCGCAATTCTTCTTTAAAATATCATATTTAGAGAAATTAACTCGCAGCACAATTAAATTAATTTATTGCATATTTCCAATGCCATACCTAAAGTACTCAAATATATTTATCTAAAGTAATCCTTGAAGGAAAGTGGAGTCTATAGTCGAACAGATTGAACTCATATATATATACCTTTTATTTATAGATCATGGGGAGTATTAGAATTTCGACAAATATCGATATTTTGTCTGCTTATATTACCCCCACATAAAATAATTTGAAAGGAGTGGAAAAGAGTGCCCTTTTTTCCCATTAAACATTATGTAAGATATTCTAAGTATTTCTAAGTTCTAATACTGTATCAGATCTTCGAAATATATCGATTTATCAATCTGCTTTCCCGGTTAGATTAACCCCATTTAAAATACATTAAGAGGAGTGCAAAAAGTACGTTTGTTCCTTTTATAAATTATTTTAGAAAATTTTTCAAAATTCTTCAGCTGAAGTTCAGGATAATTAAAAGCGTTTGATATATGGTAAATAAATAAATTCTAAATATTATAAATGTTTTTTCCTAAACTTAATTTGAGAGTCATTTGTCCGATTTTTATTCGTCTGATTCCTTAATACTGCAAAAAAAAAAGGAGGATCTAAGAACTAAGACTATTTTGCATATTCTACAAGTCGCGCACTATTACCCTTAACAAGTTTTAATGTTGTTTGTTATTTGGTTTTATAATATTCATTCTATATGAATGATCCGCATGGACTTGCCTATTACCCATAGCTTAAACATATTTCTAATGGTCTTAAATCATTTAAACGATATATGTGCATAGCGGCAGATCGTAAAACGGAAACGATTGTACAGTCGTTAGAGTCGTAAATTCGGTAAACGCGCTTAAGTGATTTCCACACTAAAAACAGCGGGTCCCAGCGACTATTCGGAATGGTCGACCCGCCCCTGGGGCAGTGCAATGCCAATGGCTCTCACTCTCTTTATGCTCTCACATAAAATTAAGTTTTATGGACGCGTATGAAGGAACACAGTTCAACAATTAAAGAACAATAAAAGCCACTTTGATGACGGCCTCCACTCGGAGAATGCGCACGCCCCGCGCTCCATTTATGACCATCAACAGTTTTGACATCTGACAAGTCGGGTCAACAAAAACGAGGTGCAACTGCAATCTGGGGCCGGGATAGACAAATCTGTCACGCCTGGTCACCTGGTGTGCGCGTCTCTTGTTGACGCTTGTTTACTGTCAAATAATGGCAGAGCTCGTAAAATCTTTAATTTTATGGGTGCTAAAAAGGATCGTTAAGCCTAAGACAAAAGTACACTCAAAAAAAAGAAGGAGTGTTTTTTTCTAAATGTTTTAAAATTGCTAACAAATAATGTTTCTATTTAAAAAAATTTCCCATTTAGAAAAGAGAACAGAATAGAATAGAAATATTTAGAAGACAGTTTTGTAACAAATAAGAAAAACGTTAATTTTATGCCAAGTTTCATTAAATTTTCTTAATGTTGAAAAATTTGCTTGTTTTTATGAAATGTCTTCTCTTAAGATAAATTTACTTTTATTTGATAAGAGTTTAAGCCCTAAAATACAATTTTGCTATAAAAAGAACATTTTCTTAAACTGAAAAAATTATTAATTTTCTTTGCGATTTTCAGTCAGAACTTTCTTCGAGTGTAGCATTTGAGCATCATTGGCATTCGGTGTTTATTTAATTAGAAGTTTTGCCGCGACCCGCAAGAACAAATCTCGATTAGGCACGAAGCAGACGCGTGAAAATGCTAACCATATCATTTGGCTTTCTCTGAAAAACTCAGCTATATGTTTTAACGTCCAAGTACATCCAATTAGCATGGTTGACGCCCACTTGGCCAGGCGGCGAAGCTGATAAAAATTTATGGCACTTGGCAATTTATGTTTATGCGGAGCGCGATCTTAAGACAAAGCGCAGCTTCAGCAACAAATTGTTATATTTACGATCGACAGCCGTGAGGATCCCACGCGTCGCGCATGCGTCAAAAACGGAAGCGCCCGATCCCAGGTCCGGACAACGTCGCGTTACGACAAACGCATTGGCTGTGTGCCCGTGTGC